ATTTCACGATTTCTGTGATAAATTATAATGGTAACGCGGTATCGCGGAATAGGTATCTATGATTTCTGGATTTCTGTGATAAATTATCACAGTAACGCGGTATCGCGGAAGAAATTATCTCTGATTTCTGGATTTCTGTGATAAATTATCACGGTAACGCGGTATCGAGGAATACGTATCTCTGATTTCTGGATTTCTGTGATAAATTATCGGAGTAACGCGGTATCGCGGAAGAAATTATCTCTGATTTCTGGATTTCTGTGATAAATTATCACAGTAACGCGGTATCGTTGAATGATTTATCTTTGATTTCACGATTTCTGTGATAAATTATCGGAGTAACGCGGTATCGCGGAAGGAATTATCTCTGATTTCCTGATTTCTGCGATAAATTATCGCGGTAACGCGGTATCTCGGAAGGCAATTCAAGCTTCCGTACAAATAACCTTTTTTTAGAATTAGCTGTAAGCCATCCTTATCGCAGGTTGACGTCTGAATTGAAAATAGTCCAGATCTGCCACTCTCCAAATAAACATTCCAACCGGCCCCTGAAATTGATTCAATTTCTTTTCGCAGTCTGTTGAAACTGATCTGAAGTAGCCCACCCATAGAATGTTCACAAGTAGCCCAAATGGTTTCGAGTGTCCGTATTGAACAGCCCCACTCGTTTGAGAAGAAATCAAAGATACTGAAATAAATGTGCAGAGCAAAATAGAAGTCGTGGAATTGAATACAGTTTTTGCTATTGATACTGACTGAAATCGGGATCCAGTGGCTCGCTCTTTATGCTTACAAAAATAGTCTATTTTTAACATCGGTTTGGTTAGTAGTCAGAGGAGACTTTGGGTTTAATATTTTTCTTGTGATCAAAACAGTATTTAATATTGTACTGTAAGTGCTTCTTGTATAAGGCTAACAGTTTGAAATTGTTTACTTGCAAATGAAACTACTGTCACTGTCTCAAGTAGAATATTCCAGATGCCTTCGACATCAATTTCTTAACAAAAAATTTGTGCTTGTGGAATTCTTTTCTAATTGGGGGGGGGGGGGGGGGGGGTGTGGACTTGTAAAAACCTTGCAAATAAATGGGGAAAATCTTAATGTTTTACAACTGCAGCTGTGATTTATATGAAAACTAAGATTGCAGTAATTTCCTTGAGACTTCGGTGACTTCTCTATGTTCTGACACCCCTATGTTCCAACAACCGGTGCATAGAATTATGTTACTTACGGTTAGGGTTAGGGTTAGGGATAGGAATATGTGCAGTCGGAACATAAGGGTGTCAGAACGTAGGTGTGTGGGGGCGGGGTGGGGGTGGGGTGGGGGCGGGGAATTAACTGGTTAGGTACACCTACCCCCACCCACTTTCTTAGATCCTCCCCTGCAGTGCTGAGTGTTCAGATTGCTTTTAAGGATGTGACGATTGTTATAAAACATGCAGCTTTTGCAAGTTGGCAGTGAAAAGAAACTTGCCATGAGGTCACATTTGTATTTGCTGTTGGACCAAGCACGGGAGGATGGACCGTGTATGATGCAGTCATTAGGTTAAAATGGAGGACATGTTGTTTAGTGGGAGTCCTCATTGAGGCCCTTCCAGTCCTTGAGTACAAGTACATCTACAAGTACGATAACCTAAACACCATTTTTTTCGTAGGAGGATTGCAGGAAAGTTGGAATAATTTTTAATTATTTGTCGGCAAGAGGAAATCAATGCCTTCAAAGCAGCCTGGGGTGCAAAATAAAAAGTACCTATGTACTCTGAGGTCTGTACTGAATTAAATCATAATTTATTTCACAGAAGCATCCTTAAAAGACAGTTCCTTATAGACTGAATTAAAATGTACGAGCACCTCAAACCAGCGATACCCTCGGGCCTTTCTGTCGGCAGTCACTAGACTCGTATTTCCTCTTTCATAATTTATAGGATCAGTTGAGGTATCCGGTGTCGTTTTTTATGAATTTGAAGAGAAGAAAAAAGGAAAATGAAAAAGAAAGGGGGGAAAAAAAACTTACAGCATTATGCCGTGGGTAGTATGGGGTTAGTCCAGGTTACGCTGCATAATAGTATTTGCATAATTCGTATTAACTACCTGCTCATCCCATTTTTTCATGCATGCGACGTTTCCTCAGCAAAGCTGTTTCCTCGATTTTACGTCCCATGTGTGCCGTTGGTAATCGTCTCATACATGCAGCTTGAAAAAAAAAAATTGTTGTGACTTCCCAGTAAATCAGTTGCATGTTTGAAAATTGCCCCCAGAATGGAACTGCAACATTTGGCATGGACTAGACTTCTCACAGACAGCAAAGCCAGTGATGCAATGGGGACATTATATTCACTTGTAACTGAAATGTAGGTGCTGACTAAAGTTACCCTACTGACCAAAGTTACCCCATTTTACGGGTTCATTAAATCAGTGGTTATGGGTTCCGTGCGCCAACAAGAGAGGGCGCTTTTTTTACCACTCTTGAGAGCCCCGTGGACGGGACACACCCTGTTTGTGTAATGGTTCGCGAGCTTATGTTGTTCTGAATGTAGTGTCTTCACGTGACCATCAAGGGCCGTAGGCAGTGCGTTTGAATGTCTGTCCAAGAGGTCTCCCCTTATCTGAAAATGAACCCCTGAAATGGACCAAATTACCAAACTGACCAAATTCACTCTTTGTATTTTTTAAAGTGTTAATTACATTACATGTGCGATTTTAGAATAGGGTCCCATTATTCCTTACTGTTTGCATTACATAAAATCTTGTAAAAATTATATGCTCCTGTTTTAATTGTTTGTTTGTTTTAATCCACTTTTTAAGTTTTGATCCTTTTAAAATCTGTCTGAGCCGACACTCTTGTTTTACTATACTCCCGAGGACAATGCTTTGTGTTTTCCTTTGTCCCTGTAATGTAACACTCTCCCATAGACTAAGCACATAAACCTACTACAGAGGACCGTTTTGAACAAAAGACCCAACTCCCGAGGACTGAAAGGATCTGTTGTTCTCTATCTGTATGTCTGTCCCGTGGGGTTATGTACAACCTCGTGCCCCGTGGGTACGATCTTGCAGCGCCATGTTGTTTCCCATCATGCCTTGCGCGATCGTAACCCCTGGAATTGTGTAATTTAAATGTGCCAAAATACGATACATTATAATTAGGGCTGCAGTTTATCCGTTTTATGTGCCGACGCCATCTTAAAAATGTTAAAAGTTGTGATTTCGAAGAATCAATCCTTTCAAACACAACGTTTGGATGTCGTGTTAATTAGCAAAGATTTGTATTAAATGTACGTACCCGTTTTGTGCCTTTACAACCACAGATACAGGGTTTTTTTAGCGAAAAACGCGGCTGACATAATCCATATTGTACAGGCATCGCGACTTTTGAATCATAATTTTTTTTTTCATACGTGACGTTACGTGTAAAGCTAAGCACGCGAGCGCATTATGGGCGCGCCCGGCGTGCAATCTTCGAAATGCCCGCGCAGTACGCTGTGAATAGCCATTCAGTGTCATTTACGTCATCATCACAGCCAGGGGTTAGTGTAAGGTACGAGCACGCGCCCCTGGAGTCGAGGCTGGGTTATGTAGAACAAGTACACACATACATGATACTGCATGTATGTATACTACCTTTAGAGGTGCCAATTCAGTTGTACCGATGTCTGCAACAGATGTTACATATTTTATTGGCTTCAGAGTACGTGGATGAATCGTATAAATGTGTAGTTAACCTTTCAAAAACAAATGGCATAAAATTGCGAGCATCGTATAAATGTGTAGTTAACCTTTCAAAAACAAATAGCATAAAATTGGGAGCGTCTCGGTCTGATAGCTGTGAAAACAATATCTGGGGAACATGCCAAGCAAAGTTGTAGCATTGAAAGAAATGGTAACACCTTCCAATTGCAGACTAAATATAGAACTAATCCTAACACAAGATCCCTGTTATTTGTATTCATAAGATGCTGTTTTTGTACTAAGGCAATTATAATATGATTTGTGCATTTGCATTGAAAGATAGATCTAAACATGCTAAATGGTTCAATTTTGTGTTTAGGCCAAAACAAAAAAAAAGTCTCCGGTTTTTGGTATGTGCACGCGTCGCCGTAGCCAGGCGCGTCAGCAAAATGAAAAAGTTTTTTTTTCAATGAAAGATGATGTCTCAAAACTGCCAAACTCACTGGTTTGACTGGAATCCTGCTGCTGCACAATTTTAACGTGTTTTTAGATTGGGTTATGGTCGAGAATAAGCTTTATGTGGCCTCTCTGGACTCCCGTATATTTGCACTAAGTTTAGTCGGGCACCATTTGCAGTCATCAGCCGACATTTGAAGCAAAAAAAATCAGGTAAAAAAAAAAAAAAAAGTCGCGCCGCCGCACGACTTTTTGGGCAAGCTCCATACCAGAAACCGGAGACTTTTTTGGGGGGGGGGGGGGGCCTTAGCCTGAAAGTTTGTGTAGTCTTTCATATTTTCATCCTATGTATTTCTGTCGTTCTTTTGAGGTGTTTGGGAGTTGTAGAGGAGGGAACTTGTGTCTCGGTAGGAGCAGCCAGTCAATTTGGATCCAGCAGACACGGAACTTATTATTTTCTTGGCATACATGTAGGTCACTCTGAGCTACATGTAGTTGGAATCAAATTCTCATTAATTCTGACCTCATAATCAGAATTGTGATTCCACTTTGGCAAGAAGTACTACTCTCAGAAGCTGCTACTTCTTGTTTCCCCAGGATTCGGGTCAAGATGCTTCCAAACAATAATTTTGTGGTAAACGATTACCGTTGAATCATCAATGAAACCTTTTTAATGATCATGAGTTCGTATGGGATTTAACTGAAAGATTTCCCTGTGCTTGTGGCAAGGTCAATTCCGAGACAAACCCATACACAATTTCAAAACAAAGTTGCCGTACAACCTGCAAAATGCATTAGATAAATTATCTCACAAACAGTCTGTATTTTTGTTGTTGTTGTTTTCGATTGCTACGAGGCAGTAGTCTTATCTCTAGTTTGTTATCTGGTTTGTTGTTCTCCCCCAGGTCAGGAAGACCGCAGCCGAGAAGCTCTACGAGATGTTGCTGATGTACGAGGACGTCGTGCCGGAGGACAATCAAGACGAGATACTGACGATACTCAGCGAGACCAAATGGTGAGCAGTCAACATCCTAAATCTGAATACGGCATCAACATCCCTCACTCGGATATAGGGATTTGAGACTTAACTGGCCAGTCTGTCATTGTCAGATGACCTCTGGTGTGGGTCGACTATAGTTGAATATACACACCTGAGCAAATGACTTCTGTGAATGGGCAGACTTGAGAACTAGACCAATCAGACTATCGGGAAGGCAGTATCGCCGCCTAGCAACCAATACAATTTCAGAAACTATGAGGGTTTTCCTTGTCCTCTTGGACATACGATATGGGGACAGGTCCCTATCAGTCTATCAAGATCATCGCTGTTTTCGTACTGCTTTTAAAGGGCCCCACACAGCCCATTTAATGTAACTTTTTTAATGGAATCCTTGAAAATCCACCCATGTGTCCCATTTAACCTGATTTTCAATTTCCGTTTAGCCATTTTCAAGGGTATTTTGGTGCCTTTTTTGTTTTTATGCAAGCACGAATTTCCATATTCATGAACAAAACTGTGATTTCATTCCTGGCAGAAACCTCAATGTTACAGCTATTTCAGCAGGAAAAGTTGCTAGAATTTTGAATATTTTGCTGTCGTAAGTTTTGATTTCTTTGATGATTCGTTGTTGTGTCAGTACATGGCAGTAAGCCAATGAGCAAACCTTTCTCACAGATGTTTCCAATGAGCAAATTTTGGGTTCACTATTTGAACCGAAAACCCCTAGACTGAACAGTGTCTTCCAGAAATGACATCACAGCAACAGTAGAAAAGTGTGGACAATTTCAAATGTTTAAAAAAGTGCACTTTTCAATACAGTTAGCCTAAAAAGGATGTCAAATAGTTTTCATACATTTAAGAGGAGCAGAAAGTTGCGAAAAATGTGTTCCTAAGAAAACGCCATTGCATGAACCCTAAAAAAGGAGAAACAGTATGAGCACAGATATTATGTACTTACGAGTCTATGGGTACAAGCCCAGCAGCCCTAATTGTGCTGTTATTGAGTACAAGCTGATTTACCCGATCATAGATCGGGTAGGGCGTAGTGTTGGGGATGAAAATGTGGGGAGCTAAATGTAAATGGGGGATATAGTTGAGGAGACATGCAGTTATAGAAAAGCAATTTCTGTGGTGTGATCTGAGGCAATTTCTGACCACTAAAACCAATTTGAGCAAAAGATCATCTTGTAAAGTTTTGAGTTTGGAGTAATTGAATCAGCTACATGTATTCTTAGCAATAGAATCATTATAGTAGGCTACAATTTTTATTCGGGGAAGAAAAAGTGGGGGGGACCAAACAATGTCCCCCGCTTTAAAATGGGGGGGGGGGGTTCCCTCTGTCCCCCGTCGATTTACGCACATGATAATTATGTACATGGCAACTGTCTGTAAATGTTCCCGTTGGTCTGTTAAATTGGCATTTTGTGAGGCAGTCGCAATTCGGAAACGTAGTGAAAGGTTACTGTAGTACACAGGCGAAGGCCGATTGTACAGTTTTGACAATAAATCATAATGCAATAAAATGTGAAGGTGTCATTTTGAAATGAAAATGTTGAGTGTTACCATAAAATTACAAACGGTCTGAATCATATGGAGGAAGGTTATAATTAATTTTCAGTATTGGACTCGTCAATAAACGTTAACTTGAACTTCTTACAATTTGCGAGACCGTCTGCGAGGAAAAAGTCGATTCAACTTTTATTCAAGTTGGTTCAACCATCTATATAAAGAGCAAGTCAAGTTTACTCGGCCTCCGAGAAATGTTTGCTCCCGAAAGGATCCGAGACCGCGGTCTCCTACGACGAGAAAATGGCTCCACGTCCGTGGAAAAATGTGGAGGGTGTCTTCCGCCGGGTCGGATGACACTTTTTCGTCGATTTTTTTGTGACTGCGTTTAAGATCGCGATATTTGAAGCAATGCATCGATCCTTCGTTGATCCCAAACAGGCCCCCGAAATTATCAACGCGACACTGAATTATACGTGGTGGGCAGCGAACTCACAACGCTCAGCCTTGGTGGAAGCATTGGAAGCATGGAGCTTTAAACACATGATGGAAGCAACAGAGCACTATATCACATCACATGCTTGTGCTTCAAATAGCGAGCACCGTAGACCCATGTTGATATACGAAACCACTTCCTGGGCGTTAAATTTAACAATTACTGAAAACTGGCGAAAACGATTTCCGTTAGAATCTGCTGGTAGTCGATTATGATAATGGTTCGTGTGCCCATGATGTCAAAATATTATCAGTTTTGCATGCGCTTCTCGAATGTACGCAGTTGAAGCGACAATATTTTAGTCATAATCCGAAAAATTATTACCCGACACAATTAGTTTCCAAATACCTGCACATTTAAACAATTATAATGTGACCCAAAAAAAGTATGTGAAGTTATTACATTTTGCATGCCGTCATTCTAAAAAAATAAATGGGATAAGGATATAAAAGAAAGCATTCAAATTAAAAAAAAAATCGTTTTGTAATGCCAAGGTGGTCCCATACCAAAGTTTGGATATTCGTTCATTTCCGCTACATAATTAAAGAGCTACTGATCTCACATGTCAAACAATTCTCGTAGGTAATGAAATATTCGCGTTTGGTTGGGTCTACGGTGCTCGCTATGTAGTCGTGAAAATTGGAAAATATTAACAGTTATGGAAAAGGCAAGGAAATCCACATCATGTAAAGGTTGTTTTGAATAGGCTGCTTTGGATGAAACGACGGAATAACGATAATTAATTACAGTTTCTTTTGAAAAGTTAACAAATAGTAAGTCCAACAATATCAATATACCAAACAACTGTTTCCCACAAAATTTTGTTAAATGTCATTGCCATATTTTAGTCCTGGAAAATCGTCGAAAACTCATAGAACTTGGTGTTCAGATGTTTGTACAAACCTCCTTGTAGAAGAAATTGCAACTGCAGCTTAATTAATGATGACTCCATAAGATGCAAAAATGCCAGTGTGTAGGCCTATTACACTTGAGAGTTTTTCAGATGTTTCTGGTTTTCCAGATTTTTGATAGCCGTTCCTTAGGATTCCTGATTCCTAATGCCTGAGTGTTTTTGCAGTATCACACTATGATTTCAAACGTAAACTTGAACTTCTTACAATTTGCGAGACCTGCGAGGAAAAAGTCGATATAACTATTTGATTCAAGTTGGTTCAACCATAATATAAGCAAGGCCAAACAGCCAACAACCGCCAATGGATATTGTTATTTATGCACTCTTCGTTATTCCAACCCAACATAATTCAAGATCACAATATTTGAAACAATGCATCGATCCCTCGTTGATTTACCCGATCATAGATCGGGTAGGGCGTAGAGTTGGGGATGAAAATGTGGGGAGTTGAATGTAATTGGGGGATTTAGTTGAGAAGACATACAGTTATAGAAAAGCAATTTCTGTGGTGCGATCTGAGGCAATTTCTGACCACTAAAACATTTTTTTTTTAGCAAAAGATCATCTTTTAAACATCATTTTCGAGTTTGGTGTCATTGAATCAGCTATTCTGAGTAACAGAATCATTATACATGTAGTAGCTACAATTTTTTATTCAAGGTAGAAAAGTGGGGGGGGGGACCAAAACAGTGTCCACCGCTTTAAAATGGGGGGAGGGGGGGGGGGTCCCCGTCCCCCACCGATTGACGCCCATGATAATTATGTACCATGGCAACAGTCTGTAAATGTTCCCGTTGGTCTGTTAAATTGGCATTTTGTGAGGCAGTGGCATTTGTGAGAAAACGTACTTGAAAGGCTTACCGTAGTACACAGGCGAAGGCTGATTATACAGTTTTGACATTAAATCATAACAATGAGAACGTGAAGGTGTCATTTGCAATGAAAATGTTGAGTGTTTTCCATACAATTACAAAGTCTGAATCATGGAGGAAGGTCACTATTGGACGTAAACTTGATCTTCTTATATACAATTTGCAAGACCTGCGAGGAAAAGTCGATTAAACTTTGATTCAAGTTGGTTCAACACTAACTAATAAAGCAAGGCCAAACAGCCAACAACCGCCAATGGATATTATTATTTATGCACCCTTCGTTATTCCAACCCAACGTAGTTCAAAGATTGCGATAATTGAAGCAACGCATCGATCCTTTGTTGATCCCAAAACATGCCCCCGAATTTATAACGCGACACTGAATTACACGTGGCGGGCAGCGAACTCACAACACTCAGCCATGCATGGTGGAAGCAACAGCACTCTATCGCACGTCACACGCTTGTACTTAACATAGCGAGCACCGTAGACCCAACCTCGCTTCCAGGGTGTGGAGCATGCTGCAGTACGCGTTGCCATCGACGGTTTTACGCAGACCCCAAAAGTACACAGTGTAGACTTTCGATTGGTCAGACCGCGCAAGGCATACTAATGTGTAGTCAATCTGAGTATTCGTTGCACTCAGCGCAGGGGCGGCAAGCAAAGCATATGAAAGAATAGGGACACTTGGTGGCCACGCACCATGGACAAAAAATATTTTACCAAGGTCACCCCATACAACCGTTTGGTGAACACTTTTGCTGAACGGCCAAGTAGAACACGTAAACGGAACCCCTACGTCGAAGCCGCTGACCTCGCACAGTCTAAACACGCAGAAAAGCCAGCACAGGGGGCGGAAAGGCAGTCAACGTGAAAGCGCACACGACGGCAAATTCCTGCGCAAAACGCAGTCACGAAAAATCGACGAAACGGATCGCCGGTCCGTACGGGAAAATCAGGACGACCCGAAGTGTCCGACCCGGCGGAAGACACCCTCCGCATATTTCCACGGACGTGGAGCGATTTTTGGCGCCGCGGGAGCCCGCGGTCTCGGATCCTTTCATGAGCAAACATCGTCTCGGAGGCCGAGTTAAACTCTCTCTTATTTATATAGATGGTGTATTTTGACGAGTGTTTGAATTCAGATGTAGAGAAAAAAAATTGCGAGGTCTCAGTGATGATGTGTGCCACACAGAGAAAAACAAAGACCAAGATGTTGCCATTTTGTTTTTTCGATTGAACATTTGTTTCCATATTTTTGTGTTCCCCTTTACAATCTCTGATTATTACAGGATTAAGGCAGCCTTCATATTACAATGAAAGACATTTTGGGGAAGGCGGAATCTACTTTTTTTTTTTTTTTTTTTTGGGGGGGATGGGGTAAGGGTGTAATTTTCGGTAAATTTTGATTCCTCCAACCAATTTTTGTTGTTATTTTCTTTTGCAGGGATGAAAGTGTGGCAACCATCCGTCCAATCCGCAACCAGCTCTGTGACCTCATGAATATTTCTAGGCCTGTATTAAAGGTAGGCATCGTTTAAATAAGTGCATGCATTGATACGTTTATATCCAAATTGAAAAAAAAGGGAAATAAATAATCCTTCAGATGCATGTAATACATAAAAGACTAGCATAACCACAATCTTTATTTTCTTAAATTTGCGTAGAAATTTAAGTGTGTTTTTGTTTTTACCATACCATCTTCAACATAACATTAGTTTCTTCTGTTTTAATGTCCAGTGGCAATTTCTTGAAGATTTCAAAGTTAAGATGAGATTAAGATGAATTGGCTGCATTTATGTTTTGTTTTTGTTTTAGATTAACAAAATATGAAGCACAGAAATATAGCAAAAACATGTTGAAAAACCGACCCATGACAAATGTGTTATTGTCCTCGTGAAAATTCTGCCAAGGTTTTTCAAATCCGTCTGTGATACAAAACAGCATCTGCCACAATTTCATGACGGTCAATTACATTACGAATTCTGGAAAAGAAATGTTCAATTGTTCTGACTGCAAATTGTGAGTCAGGGTTGCGTTGTTAATGACGCCCGATTGCCTGGAACTGTGCAGTGCCAAACAACATTTTGCAATACATGCACTGCATTTTTCCAGTCGCTGTACCTCATAAAGTTTTAGAATCTCTTGTTTGATAGCTTTCCGTTTAATGATGCATACCGTGTGCTCTTGAAACAATGGATTGCGTTCTCTTCACAAAATTTCAATTTGTATGTTTTTATTTTAATGAACAAAACTACGTAATTCTGATTTGGGGGTCTGCAACTCTCTTAAAAAGGAATTTCATTTTGTGCACAAGTGAACCTGCCCTGCGAGAGCCAAATTATTGTCTGGCAGGCAATAATTATATTTTTGTGAAGAAATAATTCAAAACTAAACATCGGTGGATTTTTTTTCATTCCATGTCTCATTCAAAAGTGAATAACTTTTACATTTCATGGAAAATAGCAGTTGAAGAAACAAATCTATTTTTCGAGGTGAAACACGAAAATAGCACGGAGAACGCATCTGTTTGGTAATCTGAGTGTGAACAAGGCCCTTATTCTATACAGACATATAATATAAGTACATGTATGTACATGTAGCCTAAGTCACGATGAATTCAAAATTTGGTAAATTTACATACTTCATGTGTGAGTTAGAAATTTAAACCATGGGCAAATCTATGCATGGCCTGCTCATCTAGATAGTAACATACCCTGCTGTCTGCACACTTGTAAAAGATAAATGTCGTTCTGGCTACGATTTATGCATTCCGGCTCCACAGAAGCCTGCCCATGCATGAAATTAGCGCAATTACCTCTCATAAGGATATATTGCCAACATAGACTCCACAAGAGAGTATGCAGAAGCCCGTCTATAAAAACCTCCAAGCAACCTCGCGATGATATCACCCCACCTCCCCCCCCCTCTTCCAGCCTCAGTTCTTACTACTCCATCTTTCTAATTTTTTTTTTAACTCCAGTCTGGGGTTTGGAATTAATTCCAAGCACGATAAAAGCTCCCTAGGGGTGCTGCTTGAGTTGATGGTGGTGGCTCTATCCCCAGGGCTGTAGACATTAGACTAACCCCAGGGGTGGATGTGGTGTTTGTCGCGGCAGGGGGAAGCCCAGGGACGCTATGCCCGCCTGGAACTCTCTTTATGTCTACTCATCCTGTGTGTTTGTGTGGAAGCATACCAGCGGCATTAATTAGTCCCCTTGTAGGAAGTCAATCTAATCACCCGGAATAATGCATAACGCCACTGTGTTTATTCCTGTTGTTTAATGCTCCTGCCTGACTTTGGCTGTATTCGCCACGGCTCAATCGTTTGGAAGCCTGTCTTGTGTGAAATGTATTTATTCAGAATGAAGCACAGTAGATGTACATTAATGTGATCTGTTTGTGTTTTTTAATTGATGTAGATTTCTTGATCAGCACATTTCTGAACCCCCCAACTCTTAGTCCCCCCTCCCTCACCTCACCCCCCTCACCACACCCCTCACCCCCCCCCCTCACCACACCCCCACCCTACCACCCCCTCCTCCATAATGAATGAATGAATAAATAAAAACAAAGACATTGTTAATCTTTTTCCCCAAAGAAGTGGGGAAAAAAGGAAAAACACACACCCAAACAACGGAAAAGAAAGTAAGAACCAAAGTAGGAGTACCATTTGATTCAACAAAGCCAGCACCAAATTAAAAACAATGCAAACAGAGTTTGGGGGTAGTTAAAATATTCAGTTATTGGAGGACACTTCTAGCACAATTGATCAGTTTGTTTTTATTGAACCATGTTCATGGCTTCAACTTTTCTTTCTTCCAGAGTGCAAAAACTACAGACACCACTCCCCCAGCACCAAGCCAAACATGATTCCTTATTATTCAAAGGTCAGCTATTTTACCTGTTTGTTATTCATCAAGTTCAGATAGAGACTGTGATTGGTCCCTGAAACCCTGCGCTGGAATGTGATTGGACAACTGATGATCAGCTGATAAAGTCATGAATCTTTAAACCAATCAGATTGTTCCTTATTACTAGAAACAGGCCTCAGTGACAACCCCCTCCATCCACTGCTCAACATATTTGTATATATTAATATATGAGTTTTTGTCACAGTCTTAAAGATATCTTAAGAGTTTTAGTAGCTTTTTCAGATGTGCAAATGGAGATGCTTTCAAATTGATTTTGTTTAAAGAATTGAGTTTCAATAGGCTGCTTAAAAATTTTTATCTTAACAAAATTGTGATAATTTAATGTTGTTTGCAAATCCATTGAAAATGCAAAAAATTAAGAGAATGAAATATTTCCTATGCAGTTTCATCTATGCGTCTACATAATAGAATAGCGGTACATTTATTGTGTTTGTTGGGAGGGGAAGGTCTTCTGAAGCATGTTTCATTTTGGAAAGGTTTGCACACAGCTTCAAACTGGGTTTGCTTCAAACTTGAGCAGGCATTTGGAGTGCAAACGTCTGATCCGCCAGTAAGAGCTTTAAGATTTGAGGGTTTTTTTTCCTTCCAATGCTGAAACAGAGAACTGTGCTGATTGACAAATGGTGCGTGTAACAAGATCAGAGTTCAGGATGACAGTGGCGCATGTGCACTAGTTATTGTATGACAGAGTATGTACCGGTGTTCCCTATTAACCAGTTTGCGCCGGGATTATTTTGACAAGAACGGAACGAGGCACGGGATTACTTTTTACTGGACGTCAATGCCAGGCGGGTTCAAGCCATCACCCTCAGGAAGCACACTCATATTTCTGGCCTTACTCCCTGCGAGCGGATTGGTGACAGATATTTCAGGCCTCGCTCCCTACAAATCCATCAAAAGTCAAATCACAAGTCCATCGCAAGCCAAATCACAAGTCGGTCACAGCGCCTTTGTCACAATTTGCTCAAGTTGGATTCGAACCCACTTTGCACCATTCATTCGAATACCCAGTCACTTGACTTGAGACTGGGTGACTTGTTATAACTTACGAAGACTTCACGATAACTTTGTTTCACAGTTTCACAACTTAAATGAAGTTACAGGCCTTATTATACTGTATGTCACTCCAAACATTCCGTGGTACTTTCAGTTCCGATATCAAAAGCTTAATACCTTCAATGTATCTAATAGTAATATGGAATAAATGAAGAAGAATCATCTGCAAGGGTCATAAATCTCAGAATCCATCAATGCCGAGAGTCGTTGCTGTTAACATGCTTGTTAACTACACAGCAATTGTCATTTTGATGATTAATGGCACTTTTGAACAGACAATGTCTTATCCAAGAAAATAAACCCTGGCTTTTCAAAAGCTTACATCCGGTCATGTCTGGCAAGCAGCCCATCAATAAAAAATAAACGACAGCAATAAATGGAGGCTGTTCGAGACGATAACAATAATATCAGCTAAGTGCAGCGTTTCAGCGGAACGAACGAGACCTCTTGATTTGTCATCTTCATCAAATGCTCTCTCGGAGTTAAAAAAAGAAAGGGAAAAAGCCCATTCTAATAATCAAAGCAATGGCCAAATGTGATTATCGCTTCCGCGCATCTTCACGCAATCTCTTAAGGTCTCTGTCTTGTGATCTGACTCGTAATTTATCTTCCTACCTTAAATGCGCACAATGTTCGACGCCTACCCAAATGGTTTGGCGAGACTTGAAAGTCTTCAGAAACCATCTCGGCGATTGGATGCATGTAATCATCAACACTTGGAGAGAGAATGGCCTTGTGTTTAATGCCATCCGTGTTGAGTGGATGAACTAACATGCCATTAGATGGGTGATTTCTCTTTTAATGGTCCAATCAAATTATTTTGGCAAATGACATTTCATGTAGTGAAGGATCTGAAGACTTGTGATGGATGAGAGCAAACAAGACAGAAAGTTGCCCGAGGGGAAAGTTGTTTTTGAAAAATTGAAATGTTATGAAACCTTATCAAGTTTGTTATTGATAAATAATCACATGTGCTTGTAGAAAGTGTTCATTAAGACCTAAGAGATTTCAGCCATTACTAATTGATGAAAACTCACATAGTCAAATCAAGTTTAGCTGACATATGACATTAACGTGGTGATTGATCTCAAAACTTGCGACGAGGGGAAAAAAAGAAACAAAAGATGCCGCAGGGGAAATTGTTCTTGAAAAAGTTTCATCTTGGAATGCACTGTGACGTCCAGAACTGCTTACAAAATGATAATGTGTTCATTTAGAAAGTTTTCATTAAATTTAATGATTGTAGCCATTACTTTTGACTAGTAATTTGTCTTATCTTAAATGCCCGCCACTTAAATAAAAACTTTGTAGTAGTCTAAAAAGTACCGAGTCAAAAGCCTAGAACTGAAAAAAAAAAATGAAAAACAATATCTTAACTGATGATGGAGAAAGATTGCTAGCAAAGTTAAGCTAGCTAAATCGCGCACCAGGAACAAAGAATGTTAAGAAATCGAACCACCACATGCTCTCAGATTTAAGGGAAAATACATCATATTTATGACTATACTAGGTGTCGTTGCAACTTGTATTTCAGAGACCAAAATGTTTGGTATACGGCATCTGCAGAATGGTCTAATCCATGATAAAAAGTAAAATAGAATTGTTATCGAAGGTCTAAAACCATCGGAATTTGTGAAAACTGCAATAAAGGGTAATTTGGCAATTGCATTTCGTAGTTCTGGTGCAAATAAGTGCGAATCCATTTAGAAGGAACATGCGCCTCATTGCCAACAACTCGGTTCATGGAAATTCATGAAGGGGTGAAATTTCACATGACTAGTCCCCTAGGGCCATGAATATGATTAATATTATGTTACCATCTTCATCTTCAATAATATTTCAGGCCAATCGGCCTACGGGGGAATATACAGCCCTCAATGAATTGGCTGTGTCGGCCCTAGGCCACCGTATGACATATCTCAGACAATCCAGCCAAATCGGGGGGGGGGGGGGGGGGGGGGGGGGGCTCGATAGCAAGTGGCCAGAATGAACAGGTTGTCAATGTATTTGCCAGGCAACATACGGTACACACGCTGTACAGGGCGAGTCAAAAAACAGGAAACCCAAATGGCAGGACCAATTATTTGATAAAGTTCTGCATGTATACACTTTCAAAGTCTAGGATATGAACGCCCAATTAATAAGCATTCTTTTAGTATAACACTAATCATTCAAATCACTCATGTACTTTTCAAGTTACAGAATTTCGAACACACACCTTTTTTAATGTTCTGTTCACGGATCACAAAAAGGTAACTTTTCTTTCAGTAACACGAAAAAGTACAAGAGTGATTTGAACGATTCTTGTTCTAAAAGAAAGCTTATTAATTGTGCTTTCATATCCCAGATTTTGAAAGTGCTACATGCAGAAAGTCATTTAAAAAAATGGTCCTGACGTTTTGCTTCCCTTTGTTTTTACTGGCCCTGTATTTCATACGTTATGTGAAAGTGGAAGACTGGCCGCATTAGAAAGGTGCTGGCATCCGTGCACTCAGCTCAACGTACTGAGCAAATTATGTTGTGTTTAGCAGAGATAGGTCACAAGCTGTGTAATTTACATGTGCATGTACTGGTTATCAAAAGTTATACTATGGCGGACCAAATCTTAGAGAAATGTGTTAGGCCTACATTGACATGATTCTACATAATTAATATGGAAAGTGAAACATGTAATGTTCGTTATAACTATATGAATGCGTATGTGTTGAAATTATGATTGTGGTACAATTTGTGCAAATAAAAATCGTTTTAAGTATCATTTTGTCACTCTCCCTTTGTTTGATATTGCATTTGTTTTTACTTTAGATGAATGATAACTTATTAACGTTTAAATGTAAACGATGTGTGTGCATTGTTTATCATACAATAAAGTATGTCAAAGCATTCAAACAAAAACGACGAATTCATGTTGTTATTTTCTGGAATTTTCTGGATTGTTTGTGTGTCAATTTCATCAAACAATTTTATCAACAACATCGTTTTTGGTAATGAACGTTTAAAATTAAAACATGGAACTGAGGAAAAGCGATACAGCGAAATCAGATTTTTTTGTTTTACACACAAATCGAAACAGAAGAATGTTTCAAATGTCCTTCTTGTATAATGTTGAGATACTGATTTTTGAAGCCCGTAGACGAAGACAATTCGTCGGGTGCCCGGCATGGCTATTTGATTGTTTTGACCTGAAAATCGCTGTCAAGTTAATTGCATTGTTCTCCCACGCACATTATAAATCGTACGAATTTGACATTTGTCATACGTATGAATCAATTGTTGAAACAACTTGTGTTAATTTCCGACGGAAATGTTTAAATTTCATTAAAATAGAGGTAGTTTTCTGCATGCTCTTTTGCTGGGAATATTTCGGCGATTACGTGCTCGTGCGTAAGGGCGTACGCGCGTACGCCCTTCTGCCAGACACACGTTTTTTGGGTAAATATTTGGTATTAGTCCGTCCTAAATTGAATTCAGACAGGGCTATACGTGCGTTTAAACCTGAAATTAATATGTTGGCTGAGAAACATTGCAAACAATGAGATCTTCAATTTTATCCAGAAAACACGGACTATGTACCTGTGCGTGACATCCCTCTGAAACTTTGCAGGGAAAACTGCCTGAGTTAAAAAGAAAAAAAAAAGACCTGAGAAGTTATCTTTTGTACGATCGCAGTTCTCAATGATCGACCGTGGATGGAGCAAGGTTGAACGGGGGACAGAAGCGACCTGGACCCGGCTAGATCTCAAGGCTGATGTCGCCTCCACGGTCCCATCTCTCGATTTATAAAAACGGGAATCATTCTTCGGAGAGAAAAAAAAAACTTCCGCTCTTTTCATTTTCTGGGGCGTGTATCGGAAGCATGCTTGATTTCAATGGCTTCTTTTTCTTTCAATCTGTGCGATCGAGTTTGTTGATAGATTGTTCTCTTTTCCCAAATCCAATTTCCGAAAGCGGTCAGGGATGAGGCAGAATGAAAGTAGTGGAATGAAATAGCGTGTGTGGTAATGTGGCCCATTTGTCTTGCTGTCGTGCATATTATGTTGTGTTTCTGTCTACCCACGCTTGTAAATCTTCTTTCCTTTCCTCAACCCTGGCAGATAATAGCTTTGAAAGCTTCCGAGGCAATGCATGTCGTATTAACCTGTTTTTGAGAATGATCATGTGCTGCAAAACAATGTTTTGCTTGGTATTTCAGGGTGAGAGAATTAAGCAAAATACCGTTGTTGGATGTGAGCCTCCGGGTTTTTTTAAACCATTTTTTTGCTACCTAAATCTGTGCCGGAGATATCCAAATTGTCTGTGTCTGTCTTAGTTCTTTTAAGCCCCAATTCCTTATAAATATGCAGTCGACCCCCTATCGTGTCTATCTAATTAGGAGACGATCAATACATTATTTTGTCATCGTTTCTGTATCTGTATCATAATAGTCGGCAAAGCATCCCGGGGGAAACATCACACCAACTTAGAGAGAAGACAAGAGAAGAAATTACAGTTTTAGAGGTGGGAGGTAAAGCCCAGAGAAACATTCTGGGGAAAACCCACGGAATCAGGTAGGACCTGAAAACCCAATCCACATAATATTGGCCCAGGCGGGATTCCAACCCGGGTCACAGCGGTGGAAGGCGAGGAAAGTACCGCTGCGCCAACCTGACTCCCCACAGCTATAGTACTCATTGTGCCGAAAAGCATTCGTCAGTTGAATTTGCACAATTTGCATGTTAAGTGTAGGTTTGCATTGGATTATGAGGTTGATACCTTTACGATTTTATCAATCGAACTTTCACTGCATGAACTGCGGTGAAAGAATAACAGTGTGTGGTATATATACTGAATGACTTGTCAAAATATAATACATGTGATTAAGACAGTAGTGTTTTTTTTTCAGATTTCTTTTTAAATTATTTCTATCTATTGTCATAATAAGAGGTAAGTCGGACATTTTAAGTTTACTTTAATTGAGGAAGTATGGTTCCCGTAATAAGAATCTTCATGTGTGACTCTTCCCGTATGTTCTCGACGTGTAAAATCATCTCTTATATATAACTTGGCTTAATTGTACTCTTACTTAGTTGTTCACAGATCATTTACCAAAGTCATTTAACCGAACGTTATGTATCATCCACAAAATTACGTTTTTAAAAAGAAAGTATGACATGCATTGTGTCTGTATGTGGATTTTTTAAGTGAAAATATCGTCCTTTAGTATGGCGGCATGCAGCTACCTCGCAAGCCATCGCTACCTTTGCAATGGGCAATTTATCCCAAAGGTCCTATCAATTAAACGACACCGCGTCATCAGAGAACTCCCGTAGCGCGTTGTCCTACGTGCAGGTGGAATACGTACGGGCTACTTAATAAAAAGCAAAATTTGGAGGAGTGATGACCGTGAAATCGGCGAGCGACAGGCGGGGCGGCGCGCCGTCAAACGCCCACCATTACGATACCCGCTGCCTGGCGGTGAGGCCTTCTCTTCAGGAAATGCCCACTCTCTCATTCCATTGGAAACAAAATGATGATAGCCTGGCTGCGGCTATCAAAATGGAAATGCGAACATTAATATGATTTATCGCCGTGCCCGCGAGGCAGAATGCCTGGCGGAGAAAATGGTTCTCATCCATTATGCAGCCCGTCGGGATGGAGAGGGGAGAAAGACTCAAATTTTGTTTCAATTTGGGCAATTTTATTTTTAATATGCCCGGAAGGGCTTGACCTCCCGCACTTTCTGTGGTGGCTTTCTGTTTTGGCTGGTGTGTCTTTTTTTTTTTGCTTTTGAGTTTTATCCCCGTGTCGTCGTCGTCTTAACGGTATTTCACGAAGTGAAGAGCTGAATAAGCCTCCATAGCAGTGAAATGAATTTCTCACCAGACGACTGTTGTATGCAGATTTATTTATCGAGACAGCTTGAAAGACCTACATGTATATCAAAATTAAGATCGAATGGGCATATTCATTGGCTTTTTGCTCCCCCCCCCCCAAAAAAAAACCCATTATTTGTTCACTAAAATAGTGACATTATTTGCGTTATTTGCTCCGTACTCCAGGATTCGAACCCTGGACTTTGTAATGATGATGGTTAAGTTCCTTGTATGCATTCTTTATTACTGCCCCACTCCCCAAACAAACTCCTATACCAATTTCTTATAACCGCTCGTACGCGTATACATGTAGTGCCCGCGAAACCACAGTATTCAATATTTCCGAATACTAAATAATCAATATCCTTGTACATGGCCCAATGAAGAAGCCGCTTGAAGGATTGACTGCTTCCCCGAGGATGCGGTTTAGGTCGAGTCCTTAGACGTATCGGATTTTTTTGGGATTAACTATCCAAACCGCATGTAAACCCTGTTGGTTTACCATGAACGAGGCCCTTCCTTCAAGTGGACGGAGTCGGGTTGGCGTTGCGGTACTTTCCTCGCCTTCCACCGCTGTGACCCGGGTTCGAATCCCGCCTGGGCCAATATGTGGATTGGGTTTTCAGTCCCTACCTGATTCCGTGGGTTTTCCCCAGAATATTCTTCTGGCTTTTCCTCCCGCCTCTAAAACTGTAACTTCTTCTCATTGTCTTTCATCTCCACAGGTTTCTTCAGGCTTGCGAGCTACAGTGCCTAGGGCACTTTTGAGGAATCCTTGGTTTCATTACCAGAAATGATTAATAATAATAATAATAGTATCTCCCAAATGTAGACCAATCTGCCCATGCTATCAGTACGAAGGTCCTCCTCATGCTTGGTGGTGAAGGGTGCAGTGAACTAATTCAAGTGAGAATTTCTACGCGAGTTCATTAACATAAAAGGTAAACCCCCTCCCCCCCCCCACAATTTCTTTTGAAAACGGAGACCGTTTGGCTTTAAAAACGGTGGAATTGTGTGAATATGGCCAAGGATCAACTCCCTGGTTTTGGGGGCTTCCATCTGAGGCCAGACTTGATAAAATTACGGTTGAAAATGGGTCCTATTTGCCTGAGAAAGTGGAAGGATGCCACTTGTAAAATGGCTACATGCAGGCTTGGGAACTATCACTTTTCGGGAGGCGATTTTGTTTTGGTGTGAATATCTAAAATTTTAATTGGCTAGTCTACCCAAAATTGAAAAGAAATAAAAAGATGAAGGACAGACAATAATTAAATTTTTGTTTGAGAAACCCCAGTGATGTCGGCTTGCATGTTATTTGGCCCTGAACTTTGCTTCAGTGCACCCTGAAAGCATTTTACGTCAGGGGGCAGTAGTCTGGTTCCCCGTCCCCATTGTCCTTCGGACTTCAAATATCTTTAGGGGGCCGTGAAACAGTCTAACGGGGCAGTTGCTTTGTAACAGCGTGCACCGTTACTGTTTCTCCATTGAAGGGGGCCGCATGTGCAGTGACCACCATGTCCGGATTCCTCCGTATAGTACGTTCGCTAGGCTGCGTGGTATAAAGGATGACTTCACATTGGTGCGAAGTCTGTCATTTCCATCACCAAATATAAAAAAGGTTAAAGGACTTAAAGCACTGTACAAGGAATTCGTTACGAACTTTGTCTACTTAGTTGTTTTCGTAGCATAACAGTTTGATTCATTGAAGTTTTGCGTCGGGGAGATAGGGCCTATGTTAATGTTATTGTTTTTTTTTTACTTGTATAGATTCCTGAAGAAGAGCAGTTTTACTGTCTCGAAACGTAGATTAAACCCAGATCTCCAGCCAGCAATGCATTGGTTCTGTGTCATCCTCTCTTTCTTGCTATATTAATGTCCACACACCAAAGTGACACCTCGAGTTTTA